TTTAGCAATTTTATGGCACTGAAGTAGCCTATGAAGTAATGCGCCGAATAACAGAGTCAGACTAAAATATGGGAGTGAGCTGAAGCCTTTCAACGGTTTTAAAGGGGACTGAAGTGATCATGAATTAGTGAACATATTACGGAGTTAATCACAAATATTTAGGGGGGCTGGTGGAAATTTTAAATGGGTATTCCTTGAACAAATTATACCTTTGTGAATCATAATAAACACCTAATTTTCTTTGCTACATTCTTTGCTTCAGTGCAATGGGGGTGATCATTTTCAACATCTCTAAGGTCTGAAATGTTCTTGTCTACACAAGCACATGGACGTCAACACTTTGAGCATAACAAATGCCATATTAAGTACTGTTGCATTCTGAAATGTGTCAGAATGCAAGTATGTGCTGCATTTTCAGCATTGCCACGAGGGGCAGTGTAGTGATGTAAACTTCAACGGTCTTCTTCTGTGGTCAGTTGTCTCTTCTCTTCAACCCAGGTCAACTGCTGTCAGAGCAAACGTTTGAGGAGAATCTTGCTGAACAAGTGTGTTACAGGCCCTTACCAGATTGTAGAACGTAGAGCAACTCTCTGCTAGTCTAAAAGACACAGGGCAGCTTAAGAAAGCAATGATAATGCTCAGACGAGTAACAGACACCTTGACTTTGAATAGTACTATAGTATGTCATTAAGTTTCAGCTTTTAAATTCTATGTAAATGTATTTATTTGTGAATGCGTATTTTTTTTTTTTATGTGTATGCCTGTTTTGCTTCAACCAAATTGCCTTCGGGAAATGAATAAAGAGGAACTGAACTGAACTGAATTATGGACAGTGGTAAACTCTGTTGTGTTTTCACTCACCTCCCCTTGAAACACCATCTCATATCCTTCTCGGTTCTTGATCTTGTGGTAGAGATACTCAGACAGCTCCAAACATCTGTCAATGTGTCTCTCAAAGCCAATAGTGCCCTGTTAAAGACCAAAGATCCATAACGAGACAGCTGATATTCATCCATCCACCCATTCATCCATCCAACCATTCACCTATCCATCCATCCATCCATCCATCCAATCTATATATCGATCCACCCACCAATTCTTCCATCATCCATGATTCAACAGTTCATTCATTCAACCATCCCTCCACCCATTCATCCATCCAACCATTCACCTATCCATCCATACATCCATCCATCCATCCATCCATCCATCCATCCATCTATCCATCCAATCTATATATCGATCCACCCACCAATTCTTCCATCATCCATGATTCAACAGTTCATTGATTCAACCATCCCTCCACCCATTCATCCATCCAACCGTTCACCTATCCATCCATCCATCCATCCATCCATCCATCCATCCATCCATCCATCCAATCTATCTATCGATCCACCCACTAATTCTTCCATCATCCATGATTCAACAGTTCATTCATTCAACCATCCCTCCACCCATTCATCCATCCAACCGTTCACCTATCCATCCATCCATCCATCCATCCAATCTATATATCGATCCACCCACCAATTCTTCCATCATCCATGATTCAACAGTTCATTCATTCAACCATCCCTCCACCCATTCATCCATCCAACCGTTCACCTATCCATCCATCCATCCATCCATCCAATCTATCTATCGATCCACCCACCAATTCTTCCATCATCCATTCAACCGTTCATTCATTCAACCATCCCTCCACCCATTCATCCATCATTCATCCAGCCATTCACCTATCCATCAAGTCAAGTCACCTTCATTTATATAGCGCTTTTAAAAATAAAGATGGTTTCAAAGCAGATTTGCAGTGATAATAGGAAATTTAAGTAACAGAGATTGTTTTGGCTTTACAGCAGCTCTAGAATAAAGTTATTGTCCAGCTAAAGTTAGTTTTTGATTGAGTCAAAGAACATTAGTTATTAACTTAGGGGCCCGTTACACAACACCATTTACACTGAAAGCAAAAAACCTTCAGCGTGTTCTGGCCACTCATCCGCTCGACCATCCACTCCCTCCCTCCATCCAACCATTCATCCCACCGCTCATCCATCCAACCTTCCATACATCATACATCTATCTACACATTCATTAATCATCCGTTGAACCATTCATTCATTCATTCATTCATTCATTCATTCATTCATTCATTCATTCATCATTCATTTGTTCATCAATCCATGGAAGGGGTGGACTCTGAAATCCACTGCTGCTTCAATGTATATGTATCAAATGAGTTGAATATCTTCTCTAGGCTTATGAGATCAGAAGACTTATGAGATCTTCTCTAGGCTTATGAGAATTTACTTTGTTATAGAAGTTACCAGTGTGCTCACTGAAATTTTCTTTTCATGTATTCTCTAATGTCTGAATTACAGTAAATATCTGGGAGGTGACTGGCTTCCAGAAATGAAATATGGACTCGTTTTGTGTTTGAGAAAGGTCTTCCACATGTCGATACATACATCTGCTTTTCTAGGGTACCCTGACAACTATGGTCAAAGGGGTCATTGAGGTCTATAGTTTAAAGGATCATCTCTTTGTTAAAAACTTATTTTCTTCGACATGTTGGCACCTAGGGTTAGGCAGAGGAATACTTGTGCCTAACTCAGGGTCCTGGTGGAAGCTGCACGACTACCGTTCAAGGAGATGTGCTACTGCCTATCAGTCCATTTGTGGAAAATTACTATATTTATCTATTTCTTAGCCAATCAGAATCATTCAACCTGAAGCAAGGACGTAGCTTAGACCTTGGTGAAGGGTATAACTGCTGTGATCTTTGTAACTCTAAGAGGAACGGCCTATACAAACTCCGTGTGAGTCTTGAAGATGACTTCTGCTGATGAAACTGCAAACTATCTTCAGTAAAACTTTTCTTTCATTTATTACAATTTGACTCTTGTCATAAATTGACTGCTCTTCTGACTCTGGGTCTTAATTAATCATATCTGGTTCTTGGGTCTTTGACTGTAAACTCCATCAATCCATTTATTTGACTCATGAGTAACACATTATCAGACACTGAGGTTCTGATCTCATGAATGTGCACACGCACCTTTGACTTCCACATGAGCCAGAATTTGAAGATGTCTACATGACGGCCACACTGTATGGCCTTGTCCCCCGTGTCATAGGTGACATCATACTGTTTATCCGGCTGAAAGAGATATCCAGCACACATGGAGTTGCATCCCTGTAGCAGACCCTGTCAAACACACACACACACACGAATACAGTGAGATAGCATGAGCACTTATCAGAGATGAACATAATCACATGTAAAAATTTCCTGTTTATTTTGTTTCTAGTCAGTTTTCTTTCTATTCCATCACTGATTTTTACTCTGTTCTATTATCATTTGGACTCATTCATTCTGCCGCCCCCATTTCTGTCTTTCTCTCTTACCTTCTCTCGGACCAGAATGGCGGAGCACTGTAGTGGGACACCCATCATCTTGTGTGGGTTCCATGTGACAGAGTTAGCTCTGCAGAAACAACACTGATCAGAACACTGCGCTGGCACACAGTTTAGTTGGTTGTAGAGGCAAGAATACATGCTTAAAGGAGAACTCCAGCTTTGGTCTAATTACACATTGGGTCTTATCAAGCGAAACGATCGCTCATTTAAAAAAAAATGACAAAGTTTAAGTTTTATAAGCTCCAATGCTCGCCTTGCTCTGTACTGCAAAGCGCGTTTGTGACTCTCCTGTTCGAACTCTCCACTCGTTTCGTTCGTTGAATGAACCAAATGACTTGGAAAAAGATTCGTTCATTTTGATGAACGAGTTCGAACAGGAGTCACAAACGTGAATCGCTGTACAGAGCAAGGCAAGCATTTGAGCTTATAAAACTTAAACTTTGTTATTTATTTATTAAATGAGCGATCGTTTCGCTTGATAAGACCCTTATTCGTCATCTGGAATCGTTTAAAGCCCTTTGAACAGTTTGCAGTTTGCACTGAAACTGTCTTTTGGACCTTGAACCGTTTGGTTCCCATTGAAGTCCATTATATGGAGAAAAATCCTGGAATGTTTTCATCAAAAACCTTAATTTCTTTTCGACTGAAGAAAGAAAGACATGGACATCTTGGATGACATGGGGGTGAGTAAATTATCAGCAAACGTTTTTTTTTTCTTCAAAAATGAACTACTCCTTTAATTGCATGTTAATTGTAATTAAATGAAAATGAAGTATAAAAGAATATTAAATAGATTTCATGGTAAACAAAAATATACTTTAAAGCAGTGTTGTAGTCGAGACCACCTCACTCGAGTCCGAGTCGAGACCGAGACCAGAGAGAGTCGAGTCCGAGTCAAGACAGAGTCCAGAGAGAGTCGAGTCCAAGACCAGAGATGGTCGAGTCCGAGTCGAAGCCGAGATCAATGAGGGTTGATTACCTAATTTACTTTTATTTACTTAGAGAAATCCTTTTTTTATTTGACTGAATTTACTTAGAGTTTAAAAAATGTGATCAGTTTAGGGTAAAAAAGCCACATAGTAGGTGGTGTTAAAAGTAATTTTATTACAATTTGTCATGCGCAGTTGCGCACTAGAAAATCACCAATCACTGGGCGTGTCAATCAATTTAAAGAAATATTTTATTAACATACATTAATAATCATGAAAAAAATATTTTGAATTGAACTCGAGTGGACTCGGGAATGAGTCCTAAAAATTTTTTTTTTCGCGTACGAGTCAATTCCGAGTCCAAATGCACACGAGTCCATGACAAGACCAAGACCATTAAAATATGGTCTCGAGACCGAGTCCGAGACGAGTACGAGTCTCGAGTACTACAACACTGCTTTAAAGTAATTTTATGTAATGTATTTAAATATTTAACTACACATTTGTAATGATGAAGTTGCAATCTAGTACATTTAAATGTAATATTGAATACCAAACTACAGTTAAAATTAAAATCAAGTACTTTACATATACTTTAGTATGTTAGTCGACAGATCAAAATAAGGGTACTTCTTTAAAGCATCACAAAATATTATCAAAACATAATTATTTGAAATGTACTACACAAAATTAGTGAATATAATATGCTCATAAGGTTTATAGCTTATGTATGATACCTCTCAATGCCGTTAAGCTTGTGTCTGTGTTTTCTGGACATCAGCAAACCTCCACCCCACGCTCCCTTAAAAACATATTCACACAACCAGTTTTTTAAAAAAAAAGTATTCACAGCATTCAATACGCCTGTTTAAGAGAGTAAAGAAATAATCACAAACGTACATCCACATGAAGCCACAGGTTGTATTTTTCACAGATGTCAGCGATCTCATTGATTGGATCAAAGGCTCCATACACTGTAGATCCAGCTGTGGCGTTCACAAACATCGGCACAAACCCCTGACAGCACACACACAACAAAGCTTCACATACACAATCCGAATCAATGTTAATTGCAATTAAATGAAAATGTGTTATAGATTAAATTCAGATTAAATTTCATTGAATTTTTTGACACATCTTCAGTACAGTTACAATTAACATCAACACGTGCTTTAATATGCAAGTAAACACATCAAAATAAGGGCACTTCTAATTAAAGCATGACAAAAGGTTACTAAATCAATCATTTAAAATGTTCTTTAAAGTAAAAAATAAGTGCACTTGTTAAGAATGTCATGAGGCGGATGGATGAACCCAATTGCAGACAGCAAGTAACTCAAAATAAGGTTTTATTAATGACAAAAACAGAAAACAAAACCCACGATGGGGCAAAACAAGAACAGGTAGCAAACACTAAACTAAGACTCAGGCAATAAACTCACAGACAAGACTAGATAGACACTTCTTACAGATGATCAACAGAGAACTTACAGCTAGACTCACACGAGGTTTGACAAGGTAAGAAAGACAATGTACCGACACAGGACAGCAAACACAAGAGGATTAAATAGGGAGAAACTAATGAGGGAAACAGCTGACTCTAACAGGGCAATAATGACTAAACAAGGATAACAAGGGGGCGGGGTTATGAGACAAGACAACGCAAGCACACAGCCCAAACAAATGGCCATGTGCTTACACAGAAAACATGGTTCTGCCATGATCCTGCTACAAGACTAGGAAAAATCAGCGACGTGATGGCAGAATCATGACAGAACCCCCACCTTAAGGAGCGGCTACCAGACGCTCCTCAAATGGACACTAAGCACAAGACAAGACAGAACGAGACATAGACAAAAACCAACAGAACATAGCAAACATCAACATTGGCAAACATGAAAAAACTATAACAGGGTTCGGGTGACACAATAAAAATAACAAACACGGGGGGGGGCGGGGGAACAAAGGAGTTAGAGTTCATGGGGAAGGTCCAGGGTGGATGGGTGGACTAGGGGTCTTGGGCTTACGGGACGAGGGCTGAGGGCGAGGAATCCGGGCAGACTTGGATGGGGACACATGAGGCACAGTCTTAGGGGAGACAGTCCGGGGTGATGTGGTGACAGGGGTGACCGGGGAGACGCACAGGGGCACCGAGGGTGAAGAAACAGGAAACCAGACCGGGGGAACAGCAGGGGACACATCAGGACACATGACTGGGGATGTTGCAGGCGACCGGGGAGTGTTGAGAGGCAATGCTGGGCTCTCGGATTCTGTTTCAGAACCAGCGCTCTCCATAGCAGACTCGGACACATCGTTCTCTGCAGTAGAATTGGTAATTGCACTCTCTGCTGCTGGCTTGGGAGCAGTGCTCTCTACAGCTCTTGGCACAGGGTCTGGGGACAAGACAGGGACTTCTAAGATCTGGGCAAGACGAGACAGGTATTTGGACAGGGCTCTTGCAGCAATAACAATCGGTATCTCCTGATTAGCTGAAATAGAGCGAATAACAGCCTCAGCAGCAGAGTCGACCGCCTCCCTCTCTGCAGCACTCACAACTGTAGACTCTGTGACGGCGCCTGCTGGAGCGGGCTCTGGGACGGCGCCTGCTGGAGCGGGCTCTGTGACGGCGCCTGCTGGAGCGGGCTCTGGGACGGCGCCTGCTGGAGCGGGCTCTGTGACGGCGCCTGCTGGAGCGGGCTCTGGGACGGCGCCTGCTGGAGCGGGCTCTGGGACGGCGCCTGCTGGAGCGGGCTCTGTGACGGCGCCTGCTGGAGCGGGCTCTGTGACGGCGCCTGCTGGAGCGGGCTCTGGGACGGCGCCTGCTGGAGGACAAGAGGCTCCCTTCTTCCTCCTCCTCTTCCTTCTGGGTCGCGGAGCTGAGTCCGTAGCCAGGCCAGAGAACGGTAAGGGGGGCAAAGAGGGAGACGAAGCAGGTGCTGGGAAGACCACCGCAGGCAAGGGGAACTCCGTGGAGGATGACTCCGACGCGGACTCCCACGACAAACGTCTTCCACGCTTTCCACGGGGGCTGACGAACACGGGTGGTGGGTTGGGAGTCAGGGTGGAAGAAGCTTGGTCCTCAAGTGTCACGACGGCTAACATGTGACCCTCGGGGATGATTGGAAGAGTGGCAGGAGGTGAAGATCCAGTGGGACCTAGCTGTTCCTTACGAGACAGGTAGTCCACCATGCTGCGAAATGGACGGCGGACCAAACTCTCTCGTTCAGCAAGGGGAGGGAGGACCTTGAGACCTGCGACGAGGTAGCGGTTGACCAGGGACTCTGGCAAGAGAAACCTTCTCTCCTCAATGACCTGGGCGTACCTCTTTAGGGTCAACTCACCCTGGGGAGGGAAAGGAAGCTTGCCATTGGCACTGTCAGCAATAGCTGAGCGCCACCACAGTTCCGGGTCAGAAGGCTGAAGGCAAGCGGACAAGGACTGCACGTCTGCTGGGTTCGATTTTGGTCGGTACATTCTGTCATGAGGCGGATGGATGAACCCAATTGCAGACAGCAAGTAACTCAAAATAAGGTTTTATTAATGACAAAAACAGAAAACAAAACCCACGATGGGGCAAAACAAGAACAGGTAGCAAACACTAAACTAAGACTCAGGCAATAAACTCACAGACAAGACTAGATAGACACTTCTTACAGATGATCAACAGAGAACTTACAGCTAGACTCACACGAGGTTTGACAAGGTAAGAAAGACAATGTACCGACACAGGACAGCAAACACAAGAGGATTAAATAGGGAGAAACTAATGAGGGAAACAGCTGACTCTAACAGGGCAATAATGACTAAACAAGGATAACAAGGGGGCGGGGTTATGAGACAAGACAACGCAAGCACACAGCCCAAACAAATGGCCATGTGCTTACACAGAAAACATGGTTCTGCCATGATCCTGCTACAAGACTAGGAAAAATCAGCGACGTGATGGCAGAATCATGACAAAGAAGCATAGTCATGAAAGTGTACTCCTTTTTTAAGTACACTTTTTATTTCATTAATATTCTCTGCAAGCACAGTTTTTAAGATTTAAAAGAAAACTTTAAGAGCACATTCATTACAATTAAGCACACTTCTTTTTCACAAGTATAGGCTTCCAGAGGATGTGTTGCTGGAAACATGATAATGAGAATGATGTGGTAAATTAAATGAGAGAACATCACAGACTTAAATATCTAATAAACATTCCACCAATCAGCAATAAGTATTACAGTCAGTATGATTATCACCTCTTAAAGGGATACTACCCCATTTTTTTTCATATTAAACTATGTTATTCCCTGAACAAAGACGAGTTGATACATACCTCTCTCGTCTCAGTGCGTGCGCTCAATCGCTCTGGCGCGCGACGACACTTTGTTAGCACTTAGCCCAATTCATTCATTAGGATCCAAGCAGAGAAGCGACCAAACACCTCCACGTTTTCTCTATTTAAATACAGTTACTCGAGCAGTGTAACTTCGCCCTAGGACGGTGACACAAAATAAAACATTGCGCTTTTCCAAGCGTGTAAAGTGGGTAACTATAATGTATGGCGGAATACCACAGCAAGTGTTTGAGCGCTTTGACTCGCCGCAGTAATATTGTGATAATGTCAACGTTTATTTTTGTGTCACCATTCTTGGTCGAGTTACACTACTCGTGTAACTGTATTTAAATAGGGAAAACATGGAGGTATTGAATGAACCCCTATTGAATGAACTGGGCTAAGCTAAGTGCTAATAAATGTCGCCGCGCCAGAGCGATTGAGTGCACACACTGAGATGACAGAGGTATGTACCCAGATAGCAAACTGACATTGAATCAACGTGGAAACATGACATCGAAACAACGTTGATCTGACATTGTTTTGCTCATCGAATTAACGTCGAACCAACGTCAGACGCGTCATTTTTTTAAAACTAACGGAAAATCAACTTTGTTTCAACGTTATGAAAGCAAACCAATTTTCGATTTTCATTTAGCTTTGAAAAATGCCGCGTCTGACGCAAGGTTATTATAGTTTTGCATTTTTCATTAGTTTTTATTTTTATTTCGTTTTGAATTTTTGTTTTCAAATTCAGTTTAGTTTTAATTAGTTTTAAAAGTGGGTTTGCTAGTTTAGTTTAGTTTCTATTTTTTGAAAATGCTTAGTTTTAGTTTAGTTTTTATTAGTTTTAGTGTTAGTTTTAGTCTTTTTTTGTAGTTTGGGTTATTTGTCAGGGGCAAGGTTGAAAAAGGTCAGAAAAAGAATTGTGTAATAATAACTCAACAAAAACATCATACAATTTTAGAAATATCTATTCAACATTAAAACCAGTACATAAAATGAAGCCTACAATGTGAAAATCCTTTACCGTAACAATCTAGATATCTTCTATAAAAAAATCCCACAGCTTTACAATTTCCACACCTTGTACTAAATTTACCCTATACAACACTAATCTGGACTGAAGCAGCAAACAGTCAGTGTAAGAGTAAAATAATGACATAACATTATTTAATATTTGAATCACAGCTTATAGAGTTTTGACACCGACAACCAAGCAGCAAGGCCGCAACCAGGGTCTGAAAATTAGTGAGGTAATAATGATTAATAATTACCTCACAATAATTAGTAATATAATAATGGTTAGGCTATTGGACCCACATTTCCCCATGGACATGAAGGGATTTTTTAAAGGAATTTACCATATATATATATATATATATATATATATATATTAACTATTAAATGGCACTTTCTGGAGAGTTTTGTGCAAAGAAACAGAATAAAAGTAAGTCTAAATAAATTGCTAGTTGAATAGATTGCTAGTTGAGAAACACTACTTTAATTATTGCATTTATGATGACTATGTGAAACGTTAACAAAGCATGAGCTGTCTTCCAGCTGGCCAGTAAGGTTATTTTGGCAAATTTTATTCTGTAACATACAGATCTGTATTATGCTATTGTTTTTACAGATAATCACAATGATCATTGCGTTTGGTGTGGTTGCCTTATGCAATTGCAGTTTGTCTAAAAGCTTTTTTAATTAACGCAGACAGTAAAATGTTGCCAGATATTGATACGAAAAACAAGCAAATAATATAATAACAATTCGAAATTACTTCAAAGCTTGTGTTTTGGAAATACGATTAATATATCACTAACACTAACATGCAACTTTCCACTATAATAACTTCCTAAAGTGTCACAAAAAAATCCGAAAAACAGATCCAGAAAATTACCGCACCATTCGATTAGGTGGATCTGGCAACACAGAGGCTACACTAACGCCCTCATTCACAATGCGTTCTCAAGCCCCCTTCACTGCGCTAGCTTCTCGCTGCAACATGAATTGCAAACACACAGGTGGTCTAAACATGGCTAATTAATCATTCACATAATCATTCAATCATGCCATTCCATTTTTGAATGTAAAAAAAAATGGCCGAGGTCCGGACTGGTTAGCCACGGCCATGCCCACTGCCCAGCAGCATTTTACCTCAAAATTGCAACTAAGTCAGTAACTTTCTAACGAAGGCTCAATCGCTTCTCGGGTTGACATTAACACACTTACAGAATTGTATTAAGAATTTAACATATTTTTACACCACCTTTTAATGTGTGATTGTGTAAAATGTTCATCATGAGATACCAACCTTTCGCGAACTTGCTTTTAACATTGATCGAACCCTCGTTTTCATAGAGACGCGGTGTGCATTGCACGGAGGGGAGGGGCTGTGTGTGTGCGTGCATTTGAGAGAGAGACGGAGGGAGAGCGCGTTACAGGGAAATGAAATGCAACGAATACACTGCGTGTTTTAAATAGTGTTAAAGACGAAAACTAAGGACATTTGCTCTATAATTTTATTTTATTTTAGTTAGTTTTGCAAACACACATTACAGTTTTAGTTAGTTATAGTTTTTTCGTAATGGCTCGTTTTTATTTTTATTTCAGTTAACGACAATGTTTTTTTCCCATCTAGTTTTCGTTTTTTCGTTAGTTTTCGTTAACGATTATAACCTTGGTCTGACGTTGGTTCAACGTATGGCGGAATACCATAAAAAAGTGCTTTAGAGCACTTCAACTTGGCGCAATAATACCTTCACTCGTGAAAAGTCCTCTTACCGGCTCCCACTTCCTTGCTCTCCCCCTCCCTCTTATTTCCGTCAATGCAGCCAACATGACATGCGACAAAGCGGGAGCCGGTTAGAGGACTTTTCACGAGTGAAGGTATTAATGCGCCAAGTTGAAGTGCTCCATACATGGTATTCCGCCATACAATATAGTCATCAATTTTAAACGCTTCGAAAAACACAACGTTTTATTTTGTGTCACCAGCCTAGGTCGAGTTACACTAATCAAGTAACTGTGTTTAAATAGGGAAAACGAGGAAGTGTTTTGTCGCTTCTCTTTTTGGCCCATATTTAATGCACTGGGCTAAGCATAGTGCTAACATAGTTTTGCGGCAATACAGAGCGATAGAGTGCTGAGACGAGAGAGGTATGCATCAGCTCGTCTTAATTAAGGGAATAACATGGTTTAATATGAAAACCCGGTGGAGTATCCCTTTAAAGGATTAGTTCACTTTTGAAAAAACTTTTGCTGATAATTTACTCACCCCCATGTCATCCAAGATGTCCATGTCTTTCTTTCCTCAGTCGAAAAGAAATTAAGGTTTTTGATGAAAACATTCCAGGATTTTTCTCCTTATAATGGACTTCAATGGGAACCAGGTCCAACCGAGGTCCAAACGACAGTTATAACAGTTTCAGATGCAGCTTCAAATGTCTTTAAACGACACCAGACGATGAATAAGGGTCTTATCATGCGAAACGATCGGTTATTTCAAAACTTATTCCAAAAATGTAACTTTTCTAAGGACAAATGCTAGCCTTGTAATATATTGTGAGGCGCGTTTGCAACGTCACGTAATACGTAATTACGTTCAAAAGGTCACGGGCGACGTAGCCGGAAGTACAGAATCAAAATCGTCCGACATCGTTGTTTTACCTTTTAATTCTTTTTTGTAAACGGCGTTTGAGTTAGTTTTCACGTTCAACCTATGCGTTCAACTTGTAAACACTCTGACTCTGTACTTCTGGCTACGTCGCCCGTGACCTTTTGAACGTAATTACGTATTACGTGACGTTGCAAACGTGCTTCACAGAATGGAGAAAGGCTAGCATTTGTCCTTAGAAAAGTTACATTTTTGGAATAAGCTTTGAAATAACCGACCGTTTCGCATGATAAGACCCTTATTCATCGTTTGGTGTCGTTTAAAGACATTTGAAGCTGCATCTGAAACTGTTATAACTGTCGTTTGGACCTCGGTTGGACCTGGTTCCCATGGAAGTCCATTATAAGGAGAAAAATCCTGGAATGTTTTCATCAAAAACCTTAATTTCTTTTCGACTGAGGAAAGAAAGACATGGACATCTTGGATGACATGGGGGTGAGTAAATTATCAGCAAACGTTTTTTCAAAAGTGAACTAATCCTTTAAGGAAATAACATACTGTAGTTTAATATGAAAAAAAAACTGTGGAGTATCCCTTTAACACGACAAGAAGCGCAAAGAGCTCATTGTCTGTTCCGTGAGGCTGACAGAGAGGTGTATTGAAGAGTTTATTCATATGAACAGGACACTCACCTTCTGTTTGGCGTCAATGACTTTGGCCTCCAGATCAGCTGGAATGACTCTACCTCTAACAAAGAGACACACATGTAACACAGATTCTCGCTGATGAGTGGATCCACAAACACACAACACAGACACACTTACCTTTCGTCTGTTCTCAGCAAGATCAGATTCTCTGTGCCAAAACCCAGCACTGCACTGGCCTTCTTTATAGAGTAGTGACTCTGGGAACAATATAGTAACAGACTTGTAAGTAAGTGATATTTCGTACATCTAATGTATACTTTAACTTTAATGTTGTGTGACTTTCATTCTTCTGTGGGACTTTATGCAGAATATCCTGGCGCCTCTATTCCATAAAAGTGAATAGAAATGAGGTCTGTCGAGCTTCAAAACTGACAAACACGACCCATGAAAAGCAACATCCAGCATAGCTCTCACATTTAAATATGGCGCAAGACACATCACACCAGGTTTGACATCAATGGTGATCAGTAAAGGAGCCGAGAACGTTTGATGTCATTGATATCTTAATGTGTGGACATGAGATGCGAGAGCCGCGGCAAATGAGCTTCATAGAGAGAAACTGCTACAGTTTTGGTCTTTTGATCTCACAAAATGCTAGCTTATGGTTTTTAAGGAGAGGGTCGTACAAATTCCGTCATAATCTATTAAATCTGTCATTTTAATTTATATATTTTAATTATAATAAGACATTTAATAGTTTTTGCAATGTTTTCATTCACATTTTCAATGAAAATGGATGGGCATATAAAAAAGATTATGCATTTAGTTATTTATGAAGAGAACAGATTACCAATCAATTTTTCATGTTCAACACCAAGCAAAGCTGATTAATGTTTGTTTGTTTTTTCCGAAGTGACAGCCACAAAAACATGACCTTTGTGCCTGAACAGGCCAATATGAACAACACAATATTGCAAAATACACTCACCTAAAGGATTATTAGGAACACCTGTTCAATTTCTCATTAATGCAATTATCTAATCAACCAATCACATGGCAGTTGCTTCAATGCATTTAGGGGTGTGGTCCTGGTCAAGACAATCTCCTGAACTCCAAACTGAATGTCAGAATGGGAAAGAAAGGTGATTTAAGCAACTTTGAGCGTGGCATGGTTGCCGGTCTGAGTATTTCACAATCTGCTCAGTTACTGGGATTTTCACACACAACCATTTCTAGGGTTTACAAAGAATGGTGTGAAAAGGGAAAAACATCCAGTATGCGGCAGTCCTGTGGGCGAAAATGCCTTGTTGATGCTAGAGGTCAGAGGAGAATGGGCCGACTGATTCAAGCTGATAGAAGAGCAACTTTGACTGAAATAACCACTCGTTACAACCGAGGTATGCAGCAAAGCATTTGTGAAGCCACAACACACACAACCTTGAGGCGGATGGGCTACAACAGCAGAAGACCCCACCGGGTACCACTCATCCCTGCTGAAAAATCCAGCTAAAACCAGCCAAGGCTGGTTGGCTGGTTTTGGCTGGTCTCCCAGCCTGGTTAGTTGGTTTATCAGGCTGGTTTTAGAGGGGTTTTGAACACTTTTTCAGCTGGTCAGGCTGATCTTAGCTGGTCAAGTTGGTAGCCAGGCTGGGTGACCAGCTTAACCAGCTAAGTCAGGCTGGGAGGCCAGCTTGACCAGCTAAGCCAGGCTGGGTGACCAACTAAAACCAGCTACTTCCAGCTTAAACCAGCTAAGACCAGCCAACCAGCCTAGGCTGGTTTTAGCTGGATTTTTCAGCAGGGATCTCCACTACAAATAGGAAAAAGAGGCGACAATTTGCAAGAGCTCACCAAAATTGGACAGTTGAAGACTGGAAACATAATTAATAAGTCTCGATTTCTGTTGAGACATTCAGATGGTGAGTCAGAATTTGGCTTAAACAGAACGAGAACATGGATCCATCATGCCTTGTTACCACTGTGCAGGCTGGTGGTGGTGGTGTAATGGTGTGGGGGATGTTTTCTTGGCACACTTTAGGCCCCTTAGTGCCAATTGGACATCGTTTAAATGAGCATCTTGTATTGTGTTTGTTTAACAAATCATCTGCTAAATCTATTGAATATATACAGTAGATATTCATTCATGTGTCTGACTACGGTTGCAGATGCTTAGTCAACTTGATCTCGAGTGTATATCAGTCCCACCAGGATTTCACGATTTTTTTTGTGTGATTTTTGCGATCAAAATGACTGATTTTGTGGTGGTAATTTCCCAAAATTTGTGAAAAAATTTGCGATTTATATATAACATTTACCATAATAGTATTCAGTCCTTCCAGAAAAACGCGGAGGTTTTTTTGTGATTGTTGCTGGCAAAAATTGATTGATTACGTGGCCCGTTTTCTTTAAAAATGCGATGGAATATGCGGGATATTTATGCAATTTTATGCGATGAAATTACAGGAATTTGCAAAAATTGAGGGAACTTGCAAAAATTGCGGTTTGATTAAAAAGAGAAAAAAAGTGATTCCTCCAACATCCTGTTCTCACTAGGCTAATGTAAGAGTCATTTCTTATTACTTCCATACTACATACTATTACTATTTCTTATTACTTCCATACAAGCATACTACATCATAGAAAGTGCTGGGAATATTTAATTTCCCATCTTGTTTTATTTCAGACTATAACGAGTGTAAATAAGGTGTGGCCCCTTTAAGAGCTGCGCGCTCCTGTTGAACTCTCTGCAGTGTTATATGTGCGCCTCGAACACCCCATGTGTGCGGTTAATTTCTGTTTGATGCTACTTCTTTTATCTTATGTTGTTTATTAAGTAACGATGTGACGGTAGAACGTGTGACAGACAGTTATACGAGTTCGATTTGTGAGATGTCAATCGCCTCCGTGAGTGTGTCTGGCGTCGCGTAATTGCGTCACTTCCTAACGTTCCCATGGAAAAAGGGGGAAATGGCTGCTCTTGTGTGAAGCAAACGCAACATTTTTCAACTTTCTTCTAAGATACATGTGACTTTTTTTGCAACAAAAATGCGAGGATTATGAAATTATGCAAACCCCGCATATTTTGCACGGAAATCGGCAATTTATGCGGCGAAAGTGCGGCGTATTTGAAAAAATGCGGCCCCCACATAAATATGTGGACCTTGGCTGATTTTGCATTGAATTCAGCGATCGCATAATCGCGTTTTTCTGGAGGGACTGGTATATGGACTGTTCCAATATGGCGAACAGTTTAAGCGTAACAGCCCATTGAAACAGCCGCTAATGAGGCCTCTATGTATCTATATGGTGGAGCGTACATCATTTGTACACTTGTTATTGCGGTGCATTGTGGGATTGAATGAGTGCACTCGATAACGTCCACTATTGTTTCAGACAGCACTACAAATGGCTGCCCTCTCAAATAGTGCCCTATTTAAGGGTATAGGGGGCGATTTTGGATGCACACGTTTGTCCTTCGTCCTCCACCAGATCCGCATCACTCCCTCATTTTTCACCTCTTTCATCAAAAACATCACAACACTTTGGCCGTTTGAACTAAGATCAAAGACGACAAAATTATAGAACATTAATATGCAGACTCGCCACCAACTGGACAGGGGTGGGAATTACCTTTACAAGTTACAATAGATCACCCTCAGTGTAATCTGTCGAAATGAATTGCGGCCTTCAGATTTGTCCATCAATGCTAAAGAAAATGTAATCAATGACAGAAAATATTTGGTTAACACGACCACTGCTCTCAATAAATGGCACAAGTTGTATGCGCTACTTTTATAGTTCTTTGTGCTTGTTTGATCAGTTTTGGAGCTCGCTGCTTCATTATGGAAAAGAGGAACCAGGATATTCTGCAAAACTTTTAGGCTCTCAAACCCACAATAATTTCATCAGCCAGTGAAGCCAGTATGTATTCTTCACATCAACACTGTGGCGATAAGTGAAAATATTATCTAAACAGAAGTGTTTCTTTTAACTTTGACTTTGAAGATAATCAAACCGCTAAAGACCGGTAATCACAATTTTTGATTAGACCAATAAAAAAGTGCATAAATGACACAATCATCCCCCTTTTTTCACGTTTTTCTTTCTTCAGTCCTAAAGAAATTAAGGTTTTTGATAAAAACATTCCAGGATTTTCTCCATACAATAGACTACCAAAATGGGAACCAAACGGTTCAAGGTCCAAAAGACCGTTTCAGTGCAGCTTCAAAGGGCTTTAAACGACTCCAGACGATGAATAAGGTCATGACTTGAAAAAAGATTTGTTCATTTTGATGAACGAGTTTGAACAGGAGAGTCACAAACGAGCATCACAACAAAGCAAGGCGAGCATTTGTGCCCATAAAAATTAAACTTTTTTATTTATTTTTTAAATGAGTGATCGTTTCGCTAGATAAGACCCTTACTCATCATCTGGTGTCATTTAAAGCCCTTTGAAACTGCACTGAAACTGTCTTTTGGACCTTGAACCGTTTGGTTCCCAATGAAGTCCATTATATGGAGAAAATCCTGGAATGTTTTCATCAAAAACCTTAATTTCTTTTCGACTGAAGAAAGAAAGACATGGACATCTTGGATGACATGGGGGGTGAGTAGTTTTCAGCAAAAGTTTTTTTTTAAAAGTGAACTACTCCCTTTAACTACTCACAGAGATAGAGAGAGAAAGAGAGAGAGAGACACCTACATGTTCTGAGGTGAACAGCACCAGTCTGGGAACCGCTGCCATGCCTTTGATTTTAACCTCAGGATAGTGTTTATAGCGCGCCACCATCACGCTGTACATGTTTGAGATCGCTCCTCCTGCAAGAACAAACAATTTGCTTCATTTAACTGATTGAATTAACATTGTGTGTACTGATAACCTCAAGAACAGAACATTTACATGTGTCTTGATTACAAACAAACAAACAAACTCAAACAAATTGAATAATATTATTTAGTCGATACAATTCGAATTATTCTGTGACTGAATTTTATTTATATTGTTGCATGTATGTGTTTATAATTGTCTGCAAAAATGTAAAATGGCCAAATGTAGACGGGCTCCTCCATCCAGTCTTGGGTTCTTCTTCTTCTTCTTTCCAATTTTACGGTGGTTGGCATCCAGCTTTTTGGTGCATCACCACCCCAGTCTTGGCTTCTCAAAGGTTTCGTCCTTTTCATATCTCACTCAAGAAAGATATTTAGACTTTGATTGCCCCCCGGTGGCTGGTCCCAGTATACTGTAGGTCATAAAGCCTGCCTCCCCATGAAGTCTGCATGCGATGGAAACTAATCAAATGACACTTTTTTTTTCAAATATATTTTCTGTAATTTTAGGTAGCTTTTATTACACTAATTGAAGTTTAAGTGTTCATTTTTTAAATAAGTTTGGTCTTAGTTATTTGATGCTATAAAATCGGGAATGTGATATCATGATTGACAGCTTTTCTAGTCAAGTCAAGTCAAGTCAGGGTAATTTCCCAAATCAAGACGGCTTCAAGATGAGCTTTCACAATGCTTTACAATGAACTCTGTTAGAGAGCTACAATTCACCTGTTCAATAAAATACCACCATCATCTTTGTGTCACTTTTACAACATTTCAAACCCCTCAGTTCTCACCATGTCTGAAAAGCCAAGCCAATGTTGATTCTTGTTTTATTACGAGGTCTGTCGTGCCCTCTTTTTGCCAGCAGACTGTCCCCTGTTCTGCGTTTGTTTAAAACGGGTGATCCCGGAGGATCAAGATTTACTTGCTCTTGTTGATCTTGGCGGAGTAGCTTTTCTATTTTTGCGGATATGACAAGACAGGCGAGTGACGCATGTACGCAATTTCGAGTGAAAACCATATCGATAGCTCTAAAATATATAATGAATCAGGGTAAGACAAAAACATATTTTGGAAAAATATATATTGACTTATTATTTCAATTTCGTTAAAGGGATACTTTAGGATTTACCGGCATTGAGCTTTGTATTAGTAGAACACCTGTAGTATTTTCGAATTACCGTGCTTTCCACCCTCATATCCCCCTGAGATGAGAGATTTTTCTATTTTTTGTCTGGAAAAAATTCTCAGATGACACAAAAAATCGTCATTTTTCGTTATCAGAGGATTTTGTTGTCCAGAAGCTAAAGACTACAGTCAGTAGTAGGGTCTGTCCCGCATGTTCTCAACCCGCCCATAGAGGGCGATCTCACTCACAGAATGTAAACATAGTGTCGGCCATCTTTTTTTGGAAGCTAAGCTAGCAGGCTCTTGTTCTGTGGAGAAAGCTGAGTAGTAGGGTTGGGTATCGTTTGAATTTTAACGATTCTGATTCCGATTGCGATTCCTTGTTTCGATTCCGGTTCCTAACGATTCTCAATTCCGATTCTTTTAAGAGGCAGGGTCAAAAAAGTTTAGCTAACCTTGCTAACCAACGGTCTTTCGGAAGGAAATACCCCTTTCTGAAGGAAATACTCCTTCTGTCACAAATACTCCTTTTGTCACAAATTTTGCATTTTGCCGAGATTTCGTTATTTTTAGAAAAGTGAAGCCACACTTTGGACCGCCGACTCATGTTCGACTTGCGCGGTTATGCCAACACTTCCGGTAGACGCTTCTTCGTTGGTGTTGTTCAGCGGTTTCTTCTTCCGCTCGGCGGACTGTGAATATCGAAACTAGGAATCAAAATTGTAACTTTTGAACGATTCTGGGAAAAACGAAAAGTTAGTCCCGGTTCCAATCGATACTCAATTCTTGATACCCAACCCTACTGAGTAGTCGGGGTCACCATCCTCTTTTTCCTGGACATGTTCGGCCGTCGATGTCCGGGATTCAGCTTTTTCTTTCTGCCGTCTCCATTCATTGTTTACATGCACAGCTTTTGTTTCAATCTAACTAAATTCATTCCGATTGGTGAATCTGAATGTAGTGTTTACATGAACGCTAAACAAGTGATCGGTTGATGTGCGTTTTAACATTGCTAAGAAAATTCCCGCTCCTCCGTGAGAGATACGAGACCGGTGCGTCTCACAGGTGTCGCTCATCGGTAATCATGCGCCCTTCTCCCGCGGCCCTCACTCGTCCCGCTTGCCACAGGAAACATAATGAATGGCGACTGTAGAACGCAAAAGCTGAATTTCAGGCAGACTCATCACGGAGACTCACTAGTAGCCTAGACTTGTTGTTTAACGACTACGCTCTGTTACCGGTAGGCGTGGCCCCCTAGGGCAGCGAAGCAAGTGCATTCTGGGAGTTGTTGTCTTTCATCCACATAAGCCAAAAATACATTTTCTGGCTTTTCTCAGCATAGAAAGCTCCAAATTCTAAAATAATTTCACGTTTCTTCTAAATAAATGACCCAATTTATATACACGGAACGAAAAAATTACACAGTGACTTTTAATCTCAAATTATTAATTCTTCTGTGGATTAAAAGGCCATACCTGGTGAAAAAATTCCATCGCCCTCTCCATTTGGCCAGCCAATAATCTCTCGCATTTTCTTCAGGGTGAGCTGTTCCATCAGTACAAACACTGGTGCAATCTCATATGTGAACCTGTAAACACACACACACACACACACACACACACACACACACACACACAACACACACACACACACGCACGCACGCACGCACGCACGCACACACACACACACACACACACACGCACGCACACACACACACACACACACACACACACCTCATTTCTACTCATCCCACATTAATGAGTGTCTTGACAGCAGGAGGTAATTTACTAACCATACTGTATTTATGTAAGCCTGTTCAATCCATCACAGAATCATTCTGAGGCATCTTCAGCCTTTTAGCACCAGTCAATAATCCTCCGCGGTGATTAGTAATGACGAGCAGCTCATTATACATGCAAATGTCATGTGCTCATGCAGTTCTGTCTAATCAATAAACAATTCTGACATAATTTACTTACTGACAGCAGGAACATGTGCAAACATGAAAAGTGAAGTCATATACTACAGGAGACAGGGGCTAGTTGTCACGTGGGGAAATTGACACAAAGATGTATATCTCATGCTGCCTTTAAGTGTTTTATGGAATTATCGTAAATACTAGTTTCCTAGTTAGAGAATAGGACGACTTCTCAAGTCAAAAGTCACGACTTCAGAAGCAGGAAGTAGGACATTTTCGATAGCACGCGAAGGCAGCATTAGTAACAGTGAGGTTTAGTGTCAAAGGTGCAATTCTCTAGGAGATTTTTTTCTTCTTGTATTTGGCATTTTTTGTGCCATCCTTTTAGTATAAACTCCATATAAAATTTTGTTTCTTTAAAAGCTGTTTACATATGTCAACATAGGTTAACGCCGCTTGAACAGACTTTCGTGCTTAAACAGACAAAAATAAAATGTCAAAATTCATATTTTGTCAAGTATCCTCATAAGCACAGTCTTAAATGAGCTAAAAAGTGTTAAAGGAGCATAAAAAGTATGTGTCAGATCTACGTCATGAGTGTCTTAAAGTCACTGACTGTTGTCCATTATAGCAGCAGTGTCACAAAATACCGCCCCTTAAAATCCACAGGATCAGACATTTTTGTCACAGTGTGGTGTTGGCAAAGGAAGAGGATGAGGCAAATGGTTCCAAGACGAATACTTTTACTTACAATAGGTTGGTATAGACAGGTTGGATACATACACAATAAGAATGGACAAGGACAGGCTGAACTAAAAGGAACTAAATACAGACACAACTGAACAATAATGAGGTGAGGACAGGTGACACGGATGATGATGACGATGAACAGGTGTGTAATGAGGGTGTGAGTTCACGTGTGAAGACATAAGGGATTCTGGGAAGTGTAGTGAAGAAGAAGACAGATTGGTTTGGTGCAGAAGACAACTGTGACACATTTGGGGAAGAGGGAAATAAATCTGAGGATGAGGAGTAAATCTTTTATATAGTCTTACAGCTCAAACATTAATTGGGGCTCAGGTCAGAAAGCAGACAGACTGGCTAAACTGACCGTCTGCTTGCTGTCTCACGTCACTGAGGTCAGATAAATCCCACCACATAGATGCTCTTTCACCTAGATATCATCATATAAAGACTGTTCCCCAAATTAGGAAATACAAAAAACAACAACAACAAAAAACACCTACATATTTATTTGAATCAGGGGCTAAACTAACAAAAAATAAAGCTTCTAGCTTAGAAGTTTCTAAGCAACACAACAGTAATGACGTTATGACCTTCTTTACATACAACATTGATAATATCAGTGAGAAAATTATAACTATGCAACCGTCTACTATAGACCCTTTTACAGTTGGTAAACATGGTGACGTATTTTTGTGGGCGGAGCTTAGGTGGAGGCAGAAAGATCCATCTGGCCGCTTTACTAACGCTAGTTAGCAAGGATTGTTAGCTTGTTTTTTAACAATGACTGGAAAAAATCCATGAGAAAATCCGATATTATCTTAATGTGTAAGGTCACTCAGTGTCCAGGACCGCGATTGTTATTTCCAAAAGTTATTTTTAACGGACGGAACCAGATTGGCCGACCTGTAGCCGCCTACACGCTCACTCGATGCATGGATGATCTGACAGGATTAACGTACGTTACCTCGGTTGAGTGGCCTGACTTATAGAGAAACCGATCGTAAATAGAAACTGAGGGCATATAAATCTTTAGATGCCTATATGGTCCTGTACAAGACTTGTGTGCACGATCCGCAGTTCTGCCGAGCCAGCGCCGAGACCACGACAATATAAAGAGTGAAATTACAGTGCGATTTTAATGATGTGAATATTTTCTAGAAATAAAAGTTCCAGATACAGCATATTCATTTTTCATCAATTCTTGCACCAAACAACACAACAAGATGACATTTAATAATAGTAACAATTATTTAAGCTCCTTATTATGTAGCCGAATCTTTGCTGTTTTGCACTGGCCGCCTCCAGTTTTCACTTTGTTTTGCCTCCAGCTAGCGCCGTGACGTAACTGTGACGTCGGCGCAAAAGTAGTCTATAGCATCGCATCAGGCAGTGCATTGTAGTCTCCCTGAGGAAAAATTCCAGTCATTCATTGCTATAGGAGAGGAAGAATTTTCTACTTGTTAAATCATCTAAATCGACAACATGTATGCTATACCGACTAAGCTATTCCAGAGGTCAAAGATCCTCTTCTTGATATCATTATTTCATCTTTGTCATTAGCATATGTACCAAAAACTTTTAAGCTGGTTAAAAAAACGCAACTTGATCATACAGAATTAGTCAATTACAGGCCGATCTCATATCTACCTTATCTGTCAAAGACACTAGAAAACGCAGTATCCTCACAACTATGTTCCTTTTTTTAGAAAGAAATGATATTTGTAAGGATTTCCAGCCAGGATTTAGACCGTACCATAGTACAGAGACAGCTCTCTTTAGAGTCACAAATGATTTGCTCTTATCATCCAATCATGGTTGTATATGGTGTTACTCGATCTTAGTGCTGCATTTGATACTATTGACCACAATATTCTTTTACATAGACTTGAAACTTATGTTGGCATTTGTGGAATTGCATTAGCATGGTTATCTGACCGTTATCAGTTTGTAGAAGTAAATGAAAAGATTATCGATCACAAGTTCAGTATGGCGTACCACAAGGCTCAGTACTAGGACCGCTGCTATTCACTCTGTACATGCTGCTATTAGGAGATATCATTGGGAAACATGGAATTGGCTTCCGCTGTTATGCTGATGATACTCAGCTGTATATTTCGTCACGCCCTGACGAAACTTACCAATTCATCTGATATAAAAAACTGGATTACTAGTAATTTCCTACTACTAAATTCTGAAAAGACAGATATTGTAATTATTGGACAAAAAACTTCTTCATCATGTAATAAACTAGAATACTGTTTAACACTTAATGGCTGCACTGTCAAACCTTCTTCGTCGGTTAGTATCTGTAAAAACGGATTTTTTCATCTTAAAATATATATCTAAATTACGCCATATGCTCTCAATGACAAATGCAGAACAGTTAGTTAATGAATTCATGACATCAAGGCTAGATTATTGTAATGCTCTACAGGGTGGTTGCCCTGCACGCTTAATAAACAAACTCCAGATGGTCCAAAAACGCAGCAGCTCGAGTTCTTACCAGCACCAGGACCATATTAGAACGGTTCTGTCAACACTGCATTGGCTCCCTATTAAACATGGTATACATTTTTTAATATTGCTAATTACTTACAAAGCACTAAACGGTTTAGCTCCCCAGTACTTCAGCGAGCTCTTAACGCATTATAGTCCTTCATGTCTATTGCGATCTCAAAATTCAAGTGTCAGCTAGTCTCTCTCCAGTGAAGGCCCCTCCCCTTTACCTCTGTACCGATAAAACGTTGTCAAAATAGTTCTGGTTTGCATGGCAATCCCAGCCATCTGTGTCATATGACTGTCAAACATTTCTCACAGATACCAGTCTGCATTAGGATGAGTAGAGGAATGGATGGATGGTTGGATAGATGAGTGGAAGGGATGATGGGGGTGTGTATTGTGTTGGGGTCTCAGCTGGCAGTGTGTCTCAGCGTGTAGCTGTAAATTAGCCTTGACCAATGAGGTGTTACTCTACAATCTGGACATGTCCATCTGCACGCTGTCTCACAACACTCTGTTACATATCACTGGAGCTTTTCTGCTGAAAACTATTATGTTTTCAGCACACTTAGGTGAGTGCCAATCACAGGACATTTTATTCCAGTCTCCAGTAAGCAACATTACTCTTGATATGCTTTCCTAAGTTTAAGGCTTAGATTTAATGCATGGTTTTGATTCTCTGTAAATTAAATGCTGCATCACGCATGTTTTTTTGTCAGCTGTGCATGATGTAAAGATGACTTAATGTTTAAACTCTGAATATGCACTGTCAATGATGTCAGTTTGAACGTTTGAGAAAGCCAATGGATTATTTTCAAACTGCAATCTGTTTTTAAACTGTTCTTTAAAAAAGTATTGCAGATCTAAAGCCAAAATTAACATACAATTTTGAATTAAAGCAGTACATTTAATGGTAGAATTTTTAATACAGGGTTAAAGGGATACTTCACTTTTTCTGAAAATACACTCATTTTATAACTCCCCCAGAGTTAAACAGTTGAGTTTTACCGTTTTCCAATGTATTCAGCCAATTTTCTGATATTTAGAAGAATGTCAGTAACCAGACAGTTTCTGGTCTCATTGACTTCCATAGTATTTTTTTCCTACTATGGAAGTCAATGAGACCAGAAAACTGTCTGGTTACTGTTATTCTTCTAAATATCAGAAAATCGGCTGAATGGATTCAAAAATGGTAAAACTCAACTGTTTAACTCGAACTGAGTTGAAATGAGCCTATTTCCCAAAAAAAGTGGAGTATCCCTTTAAGGCTCCATAACAAGCCCTATTAAGAAAGTTTGGGGAATATAAATGTGCGGTTCTGTCTTGCAAGCACTGTAAAACTTCATAGCCAGTGTAAATACAGTCTTCCATGGTCACATTGCTGAAGGGTCTAATTTGGTCAAATTAATTTACTCCCTCAAATGAAATCCTTTCATGGATTTTTAGTTTGAATCACATTTTTATCGCCTGTCATGGTTTTTCATCAGTTCATTGATTATCTGTCACCTGTTTCTTTTCAGTTCATTATCTTGTGTGTATTTATTGCCCCCAGTTGTCTCAGTTTTTTGCCTAGTGGCCTTTTCACCTCTTCAAAAAATGGAAGATTTTTTTTTCTTCAATAATTCAATGGACCGGAGTCAATTATTCAGTGTATACCTCAAGTCACCACACCTTAAGACATTGTTCAGATGATCTTTTTCAAGGCATTTGTCGGGTTTTTGTCCTGTTAGACTAATTTCTTACACATCTAATCCCATGCTTCTGTTGCTAAGTCCAAAACGCCATTTTAGAGCTAGTAATGGAGACTTGAGCCATTGATAGCAGACTCTACTAATAGCGAATGTGCAAGTTTATCTGCTCCAAGAACAGCGCCATTATTACCTCGCTAGTGACAAATTTCATGTAGCTTTAAGTTGCTAAACTGTTTTACTGATCAAATATTAGTTTGTATGTGCATTTTGAGTGGGAGAGAGGGCGGGAGAAAGAGAGTATGTGATGTCCGTACATAATAAAATGTGATTTTGTGGCAAAAAACATGGAAATAATTTGTCGTTTTTATCCTGCTGTTTACTATATTTATTAGCTGGATCAGTGTCGCTGTGGGTTTTGGCTCTGAAATAATTATAAAATAATTTGGCGAAGGGATATGAAACTGGTCAAGACCTGCACATCTTAGAGAACATTTGTCAACCAATAAGAGTCAAGCATTCAACAGTCCCGCAGTATAATAAACGTTTATGCTGCTAAAGATCCGTCATCTCGCCTTGCCTCGACATAATCTCGACATAAAGAAGCTGGAACTCACATGTTAGTGTTGGCAGTGGAGGTTAGCCACTCTCCAGCTAAGCCAATGATGTCTAGACCTGAAGACAACTGGTTAAAAAACCTTGGGTGACCTGCAGGGAAAGAGAGACTATATGATACTGATGCTTGTTTTTACTAGTCAACAGGATTGAAAGAGCGTGTCACCTGTCCGGACTCCGTATTTGAGCGTGTCCCTGCAGTCCACCAGGATCTGCTCCAGGCTCTCGGGCTGATCACACAGCTCTAAGTTGAAGCCCTCCATGCCCTCCAGCAGCTGGTGTGGATGATGGAAGTCCAGCACTTTTGTGGATCTGTCGAAGGTCTTCCGCACATAGTTAGTGAGGATCTCCACCACCTCCAACAGGAACTGCATGGTGTACTCCTCTCCATTTTTAGCAGGAAGCAGATCTGTGAGCAATTTTGTTACACAGTTTTATCAGTCAAAATGCTGTTCTACACAAATGTTGGTTTACAGTGTCTTTATGGTTTAATAATAACAAACTACAATAGGGTTAGGGTTTAGTTTAGGGTTAGTTGCATGTAATTATCCATAATCTATTACTGTTGTAACTATATGAAACAAGACAATAAAATAAAGTGTAACCCAAAAGTTTTTGTTTTATCATCATATGTAATTATATGTTATTGTTTGTTATGTGTAATATGTCATTTATATATATATATTTGTTGTATTATGAGTGCAAAGCAGAATATTTTAAATGAAAATAATGTTACATAGATGTCATAAAGGTAATTCATGCAAAGCATTTACATAAATGTAAATCATGGTGACATTTTTGTCAAATCTTGTGGCAGAAAGGAATAAATACACTGTCAACAGACTCTCTAAACAGATCAAGTTTAAGAAGGAAAAATCTACTCAATCTACAACTATGAGAAGAACAACTTGTGAATTTACTTGATGTAACACTTTCTGCTTTTAAACAATGGGATTTCATTTATTAACCTTTTTTCATTTATTCTAAAACAAATATTACTTATCATATTATATTATATCCTATTACGATATATTATATTAAATAACCTACTTTATTTAATATAAAAATGATTTAATATAAAAATGCTCTTCTAAATATAAAGTATCCAAATGCAAATTCTATTTCCTTTATTTTTATACTATGAACAGTTCTGGAATAACCAGAAAATAGTTATATTAAAAAGCAAATAAGAAACAGAATTTTTGAGTTCATTGTGGTGAAAATAGCCCACGCTATCTCAGTGGGTTCAGTTTTAAAAAGCGAGGGTTTGTAAGCTTCAGGTTGCCTATTAAATGTATGAGGATTCTGCAGAAAAAAAAAATATATATATACATTTATTTGTCGGCTTGATAATTGACAATATTTGTCAAACCATAGGCAAAATGATTGTGCGATCGTCACATATGAGAAAATATTGGTATTTTTGAACTCTTTTTTTTTATATTACTGCATTGTAGCCTACTGCCCGTTACTGTTTCTTCTCTCCGATGGTGTGGATATAAAGTTTAGTCTCTCACCTCTTGCGTACAGATTGGAGAAGTCAGTCTCTGTGCGCCTGAAGCCAGACTCGCGCGCGTTGTCCCGTGTTAAAATACTCCTGGGCTGCTGATCGTTAAAAAACCCGACAATTCGGCTCTTGTCCTCAACATTATTGTTCTTCTGCAAAAATCCTACATTATTACACACAGAGGAAGACTGACATGAGCGACCTCCGTTCCCAAACATTTCAGCAAATAATTGAACACAAATGAAACGTGTTCACGTCTCTTCGAGATCGGAGCAGTTGGGGTGTATGTCCGACTCATGAGTATTTATGGCACGGGTTATCAAGGGGGAGGTCACCACTGATGACATCAGTGTAACAGTGATTTAGATGCCCAATGAACCTTCATCAATTCATCATCATCATTACAGAGAAGCAGAAATGAGCGCAGACTAACTGATGATGTCAGGGACCACCGCAGCTTATAAATGCGAAAACAAATAAAAATGATTTTACCTATGTATTGTTTAGGCTTTAACATGCTACTTTAGCTAAAATACAAACAAAATAAAATTTAAGATCTCATCACATTGCATTAATTATAGCCTAGCCTAGAGGAATTCGATTTATCATAACATCAGATTATGTCTTGAACAACGTAGCGCTTTCCATCCGCATGAACGACACTGCAGATTGTTTCATTCTGTCTTCTGCTGCAGTTTCCTCGTTGTCCTCCTCATCTTCATCATCTTCTTCATCTCAATATGGGATCATTCAAGCAGTGCTTATGAACACACGGCGGTGAGAGCGGCGTGAAAGCAGGCTATGCCAAATCAACCTATGGTAAATAGCGTAATATTTCATTTAAATCGTTTTTCAGATAGGATGAAATTGAATCCCATGTTATTGTAATTTTATAGGAAGTGTTATTTATATTTAGGCCTACATTTTCCATTCGTCTGTAATGAAACACAACCATAAACCGATTTAGCACGACTAATTCATGGACGACCATTTCTTTTGAAAGCATAGGCTATGTTATCTCGGCAAAACAGAGGCTTGACGAATTGCCGTTTAATAGATTTCCATTGAGAATAAATTCTCTTGGGACACTGATTTAGGCTCACCTCTTAACTCACCTCTTAAAACAATCGCAAAAAAGAGAGAAGCTTTTCTTTAACATTTTCGAATGGATTTTCTCTTTAAATCATGTGGTTATGTTTGAGCAAATTCTCTAATTCGTGATGTTTTTTATTTAGTCTGCAGAGCATCTTCGGTCTCATTATCATGAAAACAAAGTCACACACTCTCACCCCTTTAAATTTGGCTTTAAAAGGAAACGCGTTTACAGGCTTCTGCTCCATTCATGCTATAACTGCAGGTAATAAAAGGTGCATGCTGTTGACTGTCACTTGGGTGACAGAGCCGAAACCACCAAAGGGGGGCAGTGGCACTATGACACGTCTGCTCATTAAGCAATCAATAAAGACATAATCCATATAGCCTAATGCAATAGTTTAGGTGGTAACTGGCACAGTAGCTATTTCAAGCCTATACGAAACCCAAACACGTCCATGCTAGTCACTGATTTGTAAAAGAAAAAAAAAATGTTTTCAACTTACCGCATATCTTCATTCCAAGTTTCCTTGTACATCCATGAGCGACTCCACTCCAGTCATAGTCTGCGGGGAGAAAACGGCGGAGCCGATAAGTAATCTCTCAAAATAAAGCGATAGCTAATATATCAACAGAAATTAAAGCCATCTTCGTAAATTTACCCAAGTGGTAAATGCGCCATCCTTTATCCTACTAATATGAAATTAATGTGGGCAGCTACACAGAATTTATCAGGCCAGATCAGGACAAGAGCCTCCATCTGGACCCGCCCCGCCCCTGCGGCCCAAACCCTGAGTTCAGCCCCATTTACCGGCTCATTATCTCTGTCGGACCAGACAGCGGTCTCCCTCTCCCGTCACATCAGCCTCCTCACAATGGCCAAATTCACCTCAGAAGCATTACAACGTTTTCAACTGCAATTTTGATGTAATAATTGCCACTGGTATAAAAGTGGCTGGCATGTAGGCTAAAAAATATTATTTTAAATCTGATGAAATTCTTGATGAAATGCCTACAATTAAAACAAAAATGGCCGATATATTTTAAACATTTTATAAACATTTTATTTTGAAAAGTCTGACAGACTTAAACATTTCAAGTTCAAGAGTATAATTCTATTGTAGAGATAATTATTCGGTTAAAAAAATATAATAAATAAATAAATGAATAAATATGTGAGATAAAATATACTTTATTATTAAAATAGCCTTGAAAAAGTCCGTCTAACATTTTTCTTTTTAAGTGGCCATTTTTATGTTTTAAGGCATTTCAATAACTGACTAGGAATAACCATTTTATTGTTATTACATTTCCGAACCTATAGGATTTAGAGGCTCATTTACCATAGCCTAGCCTACACGAAGTCACAATATGCCGTGATTTTTGATTGTGAAGAGCTTCTGTTCGTGTCATGAGGAAAGTAATGAACAGAGTGCGCCTCCGCCATCACACTGAAGCGAGCAGCGACACATTAGTGCTGATTTACTCTGCCCACAATTACAGATGCACTTCATAGAATTAGCCTACACACTTCTACTGACGACAGACTCGCTCCTTTTTTCCTTTTAGACCGAGATGACAATAATATAATTCAACACTGACGCTATAGTATTGTCCTGATGATAATCATAGCCTAATAATAAGTAATTTTAATTATAAATCATTTTAAATAATACATTTAAATAGCCTAATATAATAATAATAATAATAATAATAATAATAATATTGCATGACAGCAATAGGCTACCTGTTCTAGAAAGGCAAAAATGTATTTAAAACGGATAATGATAGACAAGAGTTGTGTTCTCTAATTGCTGTGAGCAGGTGTGTTTACTGTTTAAAGGCCATCAGCATTGCTGACAGCAGCATCAGCCTGTCTGTCTGTCCGACTGCCTGTCTGACTGTATGTCTTTCTGCCTGTCTGTCTGTCTACCTGTCTGTCTGTCTGTCTGTCTGTCTGTCTGTCTACCTTCCAGTCTGTCTGTCTTTCTGTCTGTCTACCTTTCTGGCACTCTAAAAAATGCTGGGTTGTTTTAACCCAATTTTGGGAAAAATATGGACAAACCCAGCCAATTGGGTTAAAAATATAATTTAAAAATGAAACCCAATGGCTGGGTTTGTCCATATTTTACCCAAAATTGGGTTAAAACAACCCAGCATTTTTTAGAGTGTGTCTGTCTACCTTCCTTTCTGTCTGTCTACCTTCCTGTCTGTCTGTCTGTCTGTCTACCTTTCTGTCTGTCTGTTTGTCTGTCTACCTTTCTGTCTGACTGTCTGTCTGTCGGTCTGACTGTCTGTCTGTCCGACTGCCTGTCTGTCTGACTGTCTGTTTGTCAGTCTGACTGTATGTCTTTCTGCCTGTCTGTCTGTCTACCTGTCTGTCTGTCTGTCTACCTTCCTGTCTGTCTGTCTGTCTGTCTACCTTCCTGTCTGTCTGTCTACCTTTCTGTCTGTCTGTTTGTCTGTCTACCTTTCTGTCTGTCTGACTGTCTGTCTGTCTGTCGGTCTGACTGTATGTCTGCCTGTATGTCTGTCTGTCTGTCTGCCTGTCGGTCTGACTGTATGTCCGTCTGTCTGTCTGACTGTGTGTATGTCTGTCTGCCTGTCCGACTGTCTGTCTGTCTGACTGCCTGTCTGTCTACCTTTCTGTCTGTCCGCCTTTCTGTCTGACTGTCGGTCTGACTGTCTGCCTGACTGACCGTATGTCTACCTGTCTGCCTGTCTGTCTGTCTGTCTGTCTGACTGTCTGACTGTCTGTGTGTCAGTCTGACTGTCTGTATGTCTTCCTGTGTGTCTGTCGGTCTGATTGCCTGTCGGTCTGTCTGCCTGCCTGTCTGTCTCTGTCTGCCAGTCTGTATGTCTGTCTGTCTGCTGGCGCGGGAGGTCCGACGCTCAATGCTGCGCTGATTTGTTGGTCCTGACGCGCAGTGAATAGCGCCGTTTACCCGCCTCACCGACAAGATTAATGACGTTGGCCACAAAGCAAATAGCCGGAGTGAAATAGCGGTTTAAGGTGATGGACCTACTTGAGGATGGTGGCCGTAAATCTGTCGAGTTAGGATCCGGATCGCCGCCAGAGGAGGAAGAGGAGGGTGCCGACGCAGCCATCACCCCAAGTGTTCAAGTCCTCAATCACTTTCAGAGAAACTGCTCCTGTTTCAGCAGACAACACAAGTCAAGCTGACTCTATAGGGAGATTCGTGAGGAATTCAGCAACACCTGCAGAAGTGATGCTTCTTTATATCATTATTACATTCAAGCAGATTCTTCATCTCATATAGCCTGAAAGAAAGCGTCGTTACGGGGTTTCATGTAGCCTGTCTGTGGCACTTTATTTTTTCTTGAACATTTCAAACACTAAGTTCTTTGGGTTATAACAATAGCAGAAGTTCTCCTGGAAATATAGTGATATAGCGATAGAACCCTAACAAAGACACATTTCAGCATGAGGGATTCTTTAAAATGAAACTATTAAAATCGTTGAACCCTGAAGGAATCCTCTTTTTTTACAGTCTACACACACAGGTTACCGAACACTAAATTATTTTTTTAAGCTCTAACTTATAAGCCAAGAACAAACAAACCTGTGATAATAATGTTTTGTTTGTTTTACACACTGTAAAAAATATTGTCGGTTTAACTTAAAAAAAATGAAGTAACCTGGTTGCCTTAAAATTTTAAGTTCATTGAAATTGAAAAATTGAGTTAATACAATGAAGGAGATTTACTTAATCACCAGAAACTAAAAAAAATATGTTATCTGAACTACATCAATTATTTAAGTTGATTTGACAAAAGAAAAAAATGTTGTGATTACAAATCATGAAAATAATATATTTTTTACAGTGAATGCTTCTCAAATAAAAGTTCTTTATTGGAATAATGTGGTTCCACGAAGAACCTTCAACATCTATGAAACCTTTCCATTCCATAAAAGGTTCTTTAGTCTGCCTTAAATAACCTTAAGAGCATTCGCGCTTGCAACACCAAAGTCATGGTTCGATTTCCAAACCAAAATGATTATTCTTTATAATCACTGCAAACTGTGGAACGGTATGCCAAATCATTTTAAGACATCTGCATTGAAATAAACCCTGTGAACTGAAAGTTTCTTTCTCAGAAATGGATTTGCCTCATCATCATGCCAATAATAGGAATCACACATTGTCATGATTAATAGCACAAACACGTAAGCATTGATTAAGAAATGGTGCACATTGATTTCTCAATTCAGATGACGTATGGATGATTGAAATTGATGACTGTTGCAAGATTAATAGAAACCTGATTTTATGTCCTTCTCCAATATAGATTCCCATTATGGGGTTCAAATAGGCAATATATATTTTCCAGAGAACTCCCCAGACATAATGTACAGTTTTACCGATTGAAGGCACTGAGATTTATGTGAAGCACCTGTTAGATGTGCAATTCACGGTTTTACTTTGACATGACCAACAGAAACATCTGAAAGTAAAGGAGCCGCTTACCTGGTGAAGGAGAATCGCAACAGTGTCCAAAATCTCAGTGCTCGCGCCTCACACACTCCTCAGAGTCAGCCGAAACCCTCACTGACGGATCGCGATGACCTTTCCGAGGCTGCTGCTGCTGCTGCTGCGCTGTGTGTGCGCAGACTCACGGCTGGTGATCCTCGAACCTGCCTCTGAAACACGCGTTACGACAGCTCTGCCGCGCGTTCCCGCAGGACTTTGCGCTTAAATGCGAACGCAAGTCACGAACAAACACTTTTTCATGTCGAACACAACAGCCACACACAACCCAACACAACACATCCTAAGCCTGTTCAGAGGACTCCGTGTCGTTCTGACCTTGAACGATCAAGGACGACAGTGTTTGCAGATGTTTCTTTCAGCACCTGTTTTTGGACTGGTTGTTAATGAATATAGATAGCCTACTTTCGCATTGAGCTTAGAGGTTTATATGTTTATGGGACAAGCCGTCCTCTTAACCTTGAAAAGACAAGCGCATGTCTCAGAAGTTTTAGTTCTGAATGCTGGCAACGAAATGAAATGCTTTACAGACTGATGTTGATGAGGGATTCCACATGGTGGCAGCAAGCGTTCAATTAATGGAGTTCAACTCCCGCGGTTCACTCACACTCACATGCATTTCACAGTTTTTTTTCCACCAAGGAACCTGATTAGATTTCATTAAGCATCATATGTGATTTACGCGCAGCAATGCATCGAAACCCGATGTTGCATGCGAGTGTTTGTGCAGGTTTCAGAAGCTGGACAGCTCCTTCTTTACGTCACTCACATCTGCACAGGACTCCAACAAACACACACATTTATAAACATCCATGTCTTCAGTGGTTCCTCAACTCAAGGGACCCTCTTCAATGAAGAATCAGTTTCCGTCGAACTTTGGCTTGCTTACTCCTCCGAAAACCACACAGTGTTTCGGGTTCAACAGGACCAAAGAAATATATAGCCTATTTAAACATCCTTTCCTGATAAGACAAACACTTATTGGTCATTTTAAAACCTTATCTTTTAACAGCGCAGCTGTGTTTGCTATCAAACATTTTTCCGTAGAATGTAAACACTGGCGTCATTACAAAATGGCGTCATTACAGAATAGGCTACTTTTAATGTTGTTTGTTTTGATTTTGCAGGTCTATGTGATTAAACGATATTTCGAGAGAGAGAGAGAGAGAGAGAGAGAGAGAGAGAGAGAGAGAGAGAGAGAGAGAGAGAGAGAGAGAGAGAGAGAGAGAGAGATTATACTTAGCGCTGCCTAAAGACGCCACAAGTCGCCGCAAGATGGCGCTGGTATATTAATAGCTGTCCGCAAAGCTCAGTCATCATTGGAACCGGATTCTTATGTCAGCATTTATATTTAAAAAAAAAAAAACCCGAGACACACTAAGTATGTATCAAGCTAAAACCATCCATCAATCAAACAAATAAAAAACAAATATGCTATTTTAAGTTATGTTTAAGTTTAAGACATTTTTCCTCAATGTGCTCAAATGGGAAGTAATGATAATGATAACCCCAGCAGTAATGGCAGTGTACAGATTTCATAGCATGTTCAGTTATGTTCACTGAAAAATTAAAAACATATATAAAAAGAGGTGAAAAATTTGAATATTATGCAAAAGTTCATTTTCAACTTGAAAGGTGAAACTGATATAGCCACTAAATAGACATTTCAAGCCTTTATTTGTTATCATTTTGATGATTATGGCTTACAACTTATTAAACCCCAAATTGAAAACTAGAATATTGTGAAAAGGTTGTCATAACTGTAAGCCATAATCACCAAAATGATAACAAATAAATGTTTGAAATATCTCACTTTGCATGCAATGAGTCTATATAATATATTTGTTTCACAGTTTAAGTTGAATTAGCAATTGAGTTTTAGTAAAATTGAGTTTTACCTGTTTATGTATTGCAGTTTTATCTGTTTATGTATTATCGTTATATATATATATATATATATATATATATATATATAAAGATATATGTGTGTATATATTTTTTTCTCTGTCTAATATCAGTTTATTAAGTTTATTAATTTATCAGACGAAATTTATCAGACAAACATCTTTTTTTCAGACAAACATCTGTTCATTGAAAAAAATATATATTTTTTTTTTTCAATGAACAGATGACTCATTTTTCTCACAGCACTGCACACTGCCTAACAGATTGTTACTGTTTTAAAGCACAACTACACTATCGTGAATGGGTGCTGCTTAGCTAAAATGTTTTTTTTTTTTTTTTAAAGATTTGTTAATTTAATATTTCATATGTAGTAACCATTTTAGAAATGCAATAAGGCCGTCAAGTCACAATAAAGCCCAAGATCTCATATCTTAGTGCTTAACAGAATGCGTTGCTTTAAAGATAAGAAAAAGAAAGTAAAAGAAAAAAGCATGGGACATTGAGTTAGATGTAGAAATGCATTAATCTCTTGACGCAAAGTGTCACTCCAGTCCGTTCTCAAGACGTAAGTGATGCTCTTACACACCCCAGACAACCTTTGATGCTCAGCTAGACCTGGGTGTATTCTTTATTTATTTATCCCCCCCCCACATTTAATACTCTAAAATAAACAAGCACATGTTAGATGTGAAGTATGCATGCTTAAGTATGTGTGTCTAAATGGCTGATTCTGCCAGACTCTCAACAGACTCACATCAAAGGAAGATCAGAGTGTGGCATTCAGATCAGGTCACGCTGAGGCTTAAACACACACTCCCTGCAGCAAACACACATGTGCTGTTGTGATAGCCTGACCATATCTCCCTCTCTTCTGCCCCGTGGGAACGGCACCCAGTGCAGATCCTTCAGGTTTTCACTTCATAATGGGACATTTTCCATCTTTTGAGTCATTATTCGTTCTGTAGCATGACACGTCAAAACAGAACCGACACATCCACTAAAGCACTTTACATATTTTGTGAATTAAGCCCAATTGAAACACATGGACCCTTTTCACATTTCTCAGAAGCGGAAGTCGTCAAAGCTTTGTAAACTTCTAAAGCAATGAAAAAGAGATGACAGCAATTAAAAAAAAAAAAAAATCTGTTTGCTATATTTCCATGACTTTCCGAAAGACAGATTGATTGTGTTGGTCAGAAGAGAGAAAGATGTCAAATTTCTCATCACTCCCTCAGTCGGTGTATTAGAAACATCACAGCAGTGTTTTATTCATTTTTCTGTTGTTTACTCAAGGTAATACACTGTAAAAAATAAATGCGCTTTATCTAATCAAAAAAAATGTGGCAACAGATTACAAGCAATATTATTAATTCAATTTAACAAATTAGAATTGAGTAATAATTAATCAAATTAATTCCTAAAAAGTTAACCATTTAAAAAGAGTAAAACGTACCAAAAAAAAAAAAAAATGTTTTGTCACCGTTTGGTCACACCATTATGTCACCATTATGGTGATCAGTGTTTGTTTTAGGTTTGTTTTAAATAACACAGTCTCATCCCAAGAAGTCATATAACTGACGTCTTGGGACGTCTTTTGACCATACGTCAACATCCGCCTTTTTAGGGTACCCTCAAACGTCGGTTACCTGACGATCCCGGGCCGTCATACAACTGACGCTTTACCTTTAACGTCGGTTAGGTTTAGGGTTAGGTTTAGGTCTGGGGTAGGGTTAGGATCTAACCGACGTTTAAGGGTACCCTAAAAAGGCGGATGTTGACGTATGGTCACAAGACGTCCCAAGACGTCAGTTATATGACTTCTTGGGATGAGACTCCTTCAGTGATTCTGCTTGTTAACACCAGGTGTCTTCAATGCAATTTAAAATTCTTAATTAATTAAGAAAAAAAGTTCTTAATTAATCTTTGACGTTTGTCTGTTATTCAGATATTTTAGATTAATTGTTTGGTGTAAACTTTACTCATTTTAAATGGTCAACTTTTAAGGAATAATTTAATTAATAATATTGTTTGTAATCTGTTGCCACAATTTTATTGATTAGACAAAGCATATTCATTTTTACAGTGTACAACACAATATATAGTGTATTAAAGAAAAAGTTTATTACTTTACTAGATTTGCAATGTTGATTACTGTGTAAAAAATGCATCATCACCGGAAAGGGTCCATTATAAATACTCTGCTTTCTTTTGTCTTATATTTTTTAAGTTTCATCTTTGTGTGAATTTAGTTACAACATGATTAATGACCATTATAACCAAATACAGTCATTTCTATGCGTTTTCAAGGGATGGTTCACCCAGAAGTGAAAAGTCTGCCATCTTTCACTCAACCACAAGTTGTTTCAAACCCGTATGAATATCTTTCTTCTGCTGATTTGAAGAAAATGTGTACAGTTGGACCCCATTGACTTCCATACAATACACTAATCTTAAAAATGATGTGTTGGATTTACTTAAAATATATATGCACCATTTTTGCATCATACTTTTTAAGTAATCCCAACTTGGAATAATTTTACTTAAAATTAACAAGAAAATCTTTGTTATATGTACTTAATTATTTGAGTTCACGCAACATTCTTTACTTAAAAATGTATGCATCACATTACATATATTTTTAAGTAAAGAATGTCACGTGAACTAAAATATTTAAGTTTATTTTATGTAAAATTATTCCAAGTTAAAAATTTACTTAATTAAATGATTACGGATTACTTAAAAAGTATGACGCAAAAATGGTGCATATATCTTTTAAGTAAATCCAACACAGTGCAGGCCATGTGAGATCAAAACAAATCTTAGTTCTGTTTACTTAACATTTAAGCTCATTTATATATAAAAATAAGACAATTAAATCAGTTGAACCAACCATTTTAACTTGTTTTAGATCTTCAGCTTACATGTCTTAAAATAAATTAAACATGCAAATCACACACAATAAAGCATTTCACTTTATTATTTATTTTTTTACCCAAAACTTTTAAATTGCATCTTAAAATATATTAAAATAGAAAATAGTTGTTAAAATAATAATAATAATAGTCACAATATTACAGTTTTTTCTTGGATCAAAGAAATGAAGGCTTGGTGGGCAGAAGATATATAGGCCTATATATTTATTTTTTTTCAAAAATCAATAAAAAACAATTAAATGTAACAAATTAGTCCATTATTAAATGCCTATAAATATAAAAATTAGTCTATTAATATCTATTAATTTAAACAAAACAGAAGTTAATTAATGACTTTTGTCCAGAGGTTTTGAACGAATCTCTTCAAAAACATTTTAACAGTAACTACTGGAAAACAGTAAAGATCTACAATCTTTATTTGAAGCTAAACTTTTGTTTAAAGGGTATTACTTATTTTGATAATAATTTTGAAGGTTTAATTTACTGAATTGTCGCTGTCATTTAGGAATAATATTGTGCTAGAATCA